ATTTGATTATAACTTATAGTGTAATTAAATTTTGTATTGAATGATTGTCATAAACATTTATTTATTTATTTATTTTGTTGAATGATATATGATTAAGTCCTTTCATTTTCTTTGCCATTTGATTATAACTTATAGTGTAATTAAATTTTGTATTGAATGATTGTCATAAACTTTTTTTTTTATATTAAATTAAAGCCTTAAATATTTTTCCACCAATAAGGAGAGAATGGAACCTTACTTTTATGTATATGATTTACAGGATATTATGTATACTGAAAAGGAAACGATGAATCGGCTTGATATCTTCTCATCATTTTTATTTGTGGGCTTTGTATATTATAATTATTGTTACTGGATTTGAATGTCGAAATTATTTATGCTATGTATCGTAGAGGTCTATCGAGCTATTTAGTCAATGGAGTATGAGTATTTTGGGCTTGTCATAAGAAAAGGCCCAACTATACCAACTTAATACGTGGATCCGAAATCTTAGGTTGGTATTTTAGCAAACACGCGGATCTTCTATTAAAATGTGAGTCAATTTTTCTTATGCCGAAATTACCCTTAATTGATTTTAAAATTCTGTCTCCATAATGCATAAATGATATTGATTTCAATGATTTAGAGGTTAAATTTGTCAAAATTTGTCAAATTTTCAATTTGTACTTCTCTTTTAATTATAAGAAGATAGTTTTAGCTTTGTTCAGTTTTGACATGTATAAATATTAGAAAATGTCATAGATAAAGATTTTAAAAGTATTAAATAAGGCTATTAAGTAAATATAAAAACTAATTCATTAATCAAATTTTCTAATCGAACTAAAATATTAAAAAAATTCAAAATATATTTGTTTAAGGGTTTTTCGGGCCGGCCCGAGCCTGACCGGGTTAAGCCCAAAAACCCCTTAAGCCCGAATGGGCTTAGCCCAAAAGGCCCGATTTTTTCTGGACATATATATTTAAGCCCGTGCCCGATATTTTTCAGGGCTAGGCCGGGGTAGCCCATGGCCGTTAACCCTAATTGACATGCCTAAATACAGCAATACAAACAAATTAGTACACATTGAAATAACGTGATGCGTGCTAGATCTACAGACTTGTAAGACAGATAAGTATGAGCGATGCTTAACAGAGATATGAGAGCATATAGCAAAGACGACACAAGAGTTTTGTTAACGGGGTTCGGATAACCTACATCCCCGGGACCAAGTCCAGAACGATTTACTAGCTTAAGAACGCAAAAGTCACATTTGCCAATGGTATCTAGCACACACTTGTGCCTACCACTCTTAACTAGATAATTCAAGGCAATCACCACTCATTGTTTTTTCGAGTGTGATTCCTTTCCAAAACCATCAACAATTTTTTCTTTTGTTGATGGGGCAGCACCACACACAAAGTGTGCATATAAAAAGAAACCCTAGGTGTGCAACCTTTTCTTGTACCCACCTCTTCTTTTTTATACTCTTTAGAGTTCTCCAAAACCTTAAGTTCCCAAGCTCACCTTTTTCTCTTATGGATAATAGCTTGTGCTCTTTTGTCAACTTGACCCATGCTTTTGTACAAGCTGCTGTCAACTTGACCCTTCTCTGTTTGAGACTTCACCGTCTATGTACCAAACTTGTTCACTTCACTGTGTCTGTATCTGGTTGTACAACCAACATATTTGTTCACTGCATCACTGCATCTCTATTTGATTGCATATATATCAAAATTGTTCATTAGATCTGTGTATGCACTTATGGTTGTATTAAACATGCTCGTTGCTTCTCATCATTTCTCTTGAGTCTAATAACCAGTAACAACATCAATACATCTTCACACATACACAATAATTTAATGGGATATTTCTTACCTATATACTAAATACCCGATTCCATATCACACCTAATTTTTTCATCACAAAGGAACTCTATACATAACTTCTGAATAAAAAATCCAAAATGCTCCTAATCGTATTGGCTTCTACAATGGTAATATATGTCGATTATTATTTCTGCTATACTATTAACTAAATTTTTTTTTCTTAACTATAGTTATGCTCGGCCAAATCTCAATACGACATGCGTGTTATGGTCTCGGCCTTGACTCAAGTAATCGGAAACCAACAAAGCAATTCTCACGATAATATAGGCTCTACTGATAGCCATCCTTGTGTCTATAACCCACAATATCCTATTCAACAAGTTGCTCCTACACATTAAGACGAAGGTATACATATACATGCTCATGTCGTCTATGTTATTGCTGTCTTTTTACTTTTGATGAAACTATGTTCAAGTATTTGGAATTATTTTTTGGCAAATTTCATATCAGAAGTAAAACCCAAAATTAATAGATAGTTGTAACTTAACCTATGCTTTTCAATACTCGTTCACAAACAACGGTTCTGTAACTACCAAAATGTATGTTTATGTTTTAACATGTAGATCTGTTTGTAGTGTATGGTTTAAATTAGTAAATTAGCACTAATATTTTAACGAGATATTTTAAGTTCAGATGATATAATAAACAAGATATTTTTATTCCAAAAAAAAGATATTTTTAGGGTGATTTAAAAGTGTACCTAGATAAAAAAAAAATTAACAATATAACATCACTTTTTATTTGAAAATGTATTAAAAATTATTAAAATTGGATACAAGATGACAACTTTTACTGTTTGGTAGTTACTAAACAAATGTATTTCGTTAATTATAAATTTGAATATCGTATTCAATCATTCTATAATAAAAAATCAAAAAATTTATATATTGCAGCTACAAGTGAGAGGTTAGGGTCGATGCGCTGCAGCGCTTGTAGCTGCCATGTGGCGAGGTGTGCCATATGGCAGAGGGTCCCACGGGATTGGTTGTTACATTTTATAAGGTTCAAATATTATTAATATATAAAATAACTGATCATTTTGCAATGGGTTAAATTATATATTAAATTTAATTGATATTTTTGTAACGGGTTAGAACATGATACACACCACTTAAGTTTTACAATTAAATACTTTGTAATAAAAATCTTACAGAAATATGATTTCAAATTATATGGAAAAGTTATTAACTTTTTGTGAATTACGAATCCTAAATTAGATGACTAAATCAAAATTTGGTGGTTTATACAAAATTTATTAATCAAATATTGATTAAAAAAAATCATACGAACTAAGTTTTACCGAGAAACTATATTATTTATCAAACTATGTAAATTACGGTTTTCACAGGTTAGTTTGTTAAAATCACGGTAATATTGTAAAGAGAGTTATGAATAAATTTTTTACGACTCAATCCGTTTTGGGGTGGTCAGTAAAAAAAAAAATATGAGTATATATTTTTTATGTATGCAAATGTTTTATAATTTTTACGTATATTTCTTCTTCTACTATAAAAATGGTCAAATTGAATAATATATCGACAAATATTTTTTCGCGATGATTTTTTTTTGTTTGTTAATTTTTTTTATTATTGTATTATCATTAGGGTATAGTTTTAAGGGTAATATGTAGTGTTTAGGATTTAGAATTTAGTTTTGAATGTTAAAATTTAAGTTTTAGTTTTGTGGTATTTTTGGAAAAAATTGTAATCTAGTGGTATTTTTGGAAAATAAACTTCATAATGATATTTTTGGAGAAAAAAAAAATACCCATTTTTGTGGTATTTAAGAGAATTCCCAAAAAAAAAAAATGTGAGAAAACTATATAAGGTGTTATTTATATTTTGACGTTTGATTTTTAGTTTTATTTGAAGGATTAAACTGTTAAAACGTGTACGATGAAACTCAAGATAAGTGGATGATAAGTATATGTCATGTAAAAACAAAACCTTCCAAGTCATGCTCTTGGTACCAAATGATCTCTCTGCTAGTTTAGTAACAAGAAAAAAAAAATTAATTAGTTTGGACGTATTAATTACACAATATTAAAATGAAAACCTTTTT